TTTAAATATGAATAAGGGTACATCGATGCCCATGGTCTGGGACACCAGTAAGGCGTATATGAGGGGAATTTTAATTGATTTAAATAAAGTTTTTAGAGATAAAAGGATACAAAAATGTAGAGAAATAGAAGATGAGATTAAAATAAAAGAAGAAGCGCTTGGTCTTAACCCAACTGATAATAACTTAAAGGTTTCTATTAAGATGCTTAGGGAACAATTTAATATGTTGATGGCAGATCAGGTGGCTACCAATTTGCGTTATATAATACTTTTGTAATGCGAATAAGCCTGGGAGGTGGTTGGCTTATCAGTTATGAAAGAAACAGAAGGCTAGGATTATAGAGAAAGTAAAATATAAAGGTACTGAGGTTCTTCAGCAAAATTTGATTAAAAAGAGTTTTTTAGATTTTTACACAAAACTATACTCAAGTGATAATATAAAGGGAATGGATATAGATAAATATTTACAATCAGTACATTTTCCTAAACTTTCTGAGGAACAGCAAAATGGGATGAATTGTTTAATTACTGTAGAGGAAAATGGCTTAGCTATCAAGCAGTTAAAGGTGGGAAAGTCTCCAGGAACAGATGGATTGACGTCGACATATTATAAAAATTTATATGAAGAAATGTTGGAGCCATTAAAGGAGCTTTTTAATAGTATTTTGCTGGGAGCACAAGTTCCTCCTTCTTGGAAAAGATCGTTTATATCATTGATTCCGAAGGAGGATCAAGATCTTACAGAGCCTAAGAATTATAGGCCGATATCATTATTAAATGTAGATTACAAGATTTTTACAAAAATTTTGGCAAATAGATTAATGCAGGTTATGAAGGATTTGATTCACAGTGATCAATCAGGATTCATAACAGGACGATACATGAAATATAATGTTAGACAAATTGTTAACTTAATTGAGTATTTGGATAAGAACAACCAGATTTCTGTGGCTTTTATATTTTTGGATGCTGAAAAAGCCTTTGATCAATTAGATTGGCAATTTTTATTCTCATTGGTAGAGAAAATGAATTTTGGGGATAATTTTTTACATGCACCTAAAGCTATATATCAGCAACAATCAGCTCAAATTGTTGTTAATGGGGGATTGACTGAGACTTTTAATATTGAAAAAGGGACAAGATGTCCATTATCTCCATTATTATTTGTTTTAATATTGGAGATTTTGTTGATCCAGATTTGAGAATCAACGGTAATCAAGGGCATAAAGATAAGAAAAAATGAGTATAAATTACGCGCTTTTGCGGATGATTTGGTTTTGATTTTGGAACAACCGATTAGGGCGGTTGATTGTTTATTAGAACTTATAACACAGTATGGAAAAGTTTCTGGTTTTAAAGTTAATAACTATAAGACTAAGATATTATCTAAGAATATGTTAGCCAATGACAAGGAAAGTTTGGTTAAAGCTACAGGTTTTCAGATGGTGAAAAAGGTTAAATATCTGGGAGTATACTTAACTGCCTCAAATGGAAAATTGTATAAAAATAATTATGAATTACTATGGGCAAAAGTGCAAAAGGATTTAAATGACTGGAAAAAATTGCAATTGTCACTGTTGGGGAGAATTTCAGCTATAAAAATGAATGTTCTACCAAAGTTTCTTTTTTTGTTTCAGATGATACCTATTTTAAAAAAAGATGTAAATTTGGAGGAATGGCAGAAGGGTATCAATAAATTCATTTGGGCTGGGAAAAAACCAAGGGTTTTTAGTGGACAGGTGGACTGTAGATAAGAAAGAAGGAATAACACTAGAAGATGGAAATCTGGTTATTCAGATTAAAGATCAGAGTCAGGCCCATATAAAAAGAATTTACAATGCTTTAATAGAATTAGACTCTGAAACAGAATTGGTTAAAGACTGTATGATTAAATGGGCTCAGAATATCCAGGATCCGATCCCATTGGACTTATGGGAGACAATTTGGATTAGAAATGTTAAATTTACACAAGCTCAAAATTTGAGGGAAAATTTTTATAAAATGTTTTACAGATGGCATTTAGATCCTAAAAAATTATCTTGTATGTATCCAAATTTACAACCCAAATGTTGGAGATGTGGTAATATGGATGCGACATATTTTCATGTTTGGTGGAATTGTAAAAAGGTAAAGGCTTTTTGGATTATGATTTGGTGGAACATTCAAAAGGTTTTTAAAAGGAAGATAAAGTTCACCCCTCAGTTAATTTATTAACTGCAGCAAGGTTATTAGTAGGCTCGTATTGGAAGAAGAACTCGTTGCCTACTTTAGAAGAATGGATATTTAAAGTTTCTAACTTTGCAGAAATGGCAAAAATTTCTGCTTATTTGAAGGATCATACACAAGAAAGATATATTATTGTATGGAGAAGATGGATAGATTATATTCAGAAAAAATATGGTACTTTAAAGTTTCATTTATTTTATGATTAAATTTTATAGTAATTGTTGTAGAGATTTGTTTATATGTCTTAATTTAAGGGGAGTTAAAGGTTAAATATGTTTTTTTTCTTTTTTCTTTCTTTTTTTTCTTTTTTTTTCCTTTTTTAATTATTGTTAACCTTCTTATTAATAACCCTGTACTCTGCTCTGGGAAGCGAGGGGGAGAGGGTTGAGGGTGGGTGGGTGAGTGGGTGGGTAATGATAATATAGTCATGTTAAATGCTTGGGCATTTCCCCTATGCTACGTTCATGTGTGTGAGAGGGATGAGAGGGGAGGAAGGAATAGGGAGGAAGTAGGATGGTTAGAGGAGATGGGGAGGGGAAGAGAGTAGGAGGGGAGGAGAGAAAGAGGAGGGAAGTAGGGAAGGTTTAGAGAGGGTGGACGCAGCCTGGGGGGAATGGGCAGGCGGTACCAATGGTTAATTGTACTTTGTATGAATAAATGGAAAATAAAAACTTTTTAAATAATAATAATAAAAAAGGTTAAGAACCACTGCTTTAAAAGATAGAAAAAAGGACAAAAAAAATGGTATCTGGAAAAGATTTTCTATTTACTGAGGACATCTAGTGGTGAAAAGTTAATACTTGCAACTATTCTTTGGCGAGAAGGATTTGACCTTCAGATTATTTCTGAAAAGATAAGCTGGTGCAGCTGTGAGAACTGAGGGGGTGGACACTGTTTAATTACAACCCTCATTAAATAATAATAATAATAAAGAAAGGACTTCCTTTGATTACTTTTAAAATGGAGAAACCCTACTCTCACTTAAACTGTAAGCTTATACTGGAAAAGATCTATAAGGTTTCTGAAGAAATACGTGCTATAAGGAAAGGGCCGCAAGTGCTAAACTGGCATACATCAAATGTGTGGAGACAGATTCAGATGCTTCTGACACCATGTTTCATATGGAGTCAGTAAATACAATTCAAGGCCTCACTATGCAAAAGCCATCTTTCTTAGAGAGAAGTAATACAACAACAGGAAAAGGAAATGCATCACAGGAACAATAGAGATGAATCATAGAATAGCAATATGGCACAGGAAACATACAATAGAAATGAATGATAGAGCTACATATAAGGTAAACATAATACCCATAATCAGTGCTTTTTTTGTAAAAAAAAAAAAAAGTGCCAGAACTCACACGTCATACAACCCGCCTTGCCTACCCTACAAGGTTCTACCCAAAAAACGTGTTCTATGACAAAAAAAAGACCTGCCCATAACAATAGAACAAAGGAGCATTCACAAGCAGACTAATTCCTACAGCAGCATCTATATTACTCAGATTCCTTCATTTTTGCAAACATTGGAGCTGATTTTTCAAAACAAGGTCAGGAAAAGAATGTTCCTTCCCCAAACTCAGGGAAGTTGATATTACCTAAAACAGAAAAGAAGAAATAAGCTTCCAATTAATCAGGACTACAAAAGAATTAGGAAAAGAGACTTGTACTTGACTTGTTTCTATGGAAATTGGCAAGGGACCAGTAAGTCTCTTAAACATATTTAAAACTAAAATTGGATTAATATGCAATAGAATATTATTCCATAATGTACTTACCTGAGCTCAAGTAATTGGCTGAGAGCTACATGCTGCATAAAGCCAGAAGGTTTTCTGTTTGGTTTTGACTAAGCGTAATGTATAAATCTATTCTCTGCAGTTTGTAAATTTTGATTTATTAATTAGCACAAAATATGAACCCTGTGATTGAGATTTACTTGAATAAGCATAAATAATATACTTATATAAGTATGCATCGGAAAGCCCCCTAAATCTCTTTAAATATTAATCCCTAATATTTATGTTTTATGTTTCATACACACAATTTTCAGACTAAAATTCTTAAACACTAGTAGTAAAAAACAGTAGTTCTGTCAGAATCCAATTATATTTCATCTCTAGTTATCATATAGAGAACACCATTTCTGCCTTCTCTGGATTCTGTCATACGATGAAGGAAAGGGGGTGAACAAAGGGGCATTATGGCCCTCACTTCCTTCAGTACACTTCAAAGGAACTGGATGTGGATATCACCAAAAGGACTAACCATAATAATGGGGCTATTACCTTCATGTAGTTCTCTCTGAAGTCTCCATCCAGCCGGCAGTAAGGAAAAGGGGGTGAGAATGTAATGCCTGAGACTGTCGCTGGAAGAAGGTGGTGATTGGGTGGGGCTACTGGGGAACCCCTTAAAACCTTGAATGGGAGAGCTTGGACCCCAAGTCCTGTCTAGAACACCTGCAACCATTTTCTCTTAATAAAGGATGCCTGTTGGAAGAACTATTCCAAGAGTTCTGTCTTAAGATGCAAAGTGGGGTGGGTCCTTACAAGTTCCAGTGGAATGTGCTTCTCAGTATACATACTATATTAAGACTGTATTGCAAACATACTGCAATAAAAACTCGTCCACATGCATAACTAATCTTGTTCTAGATAGTCTAAAAACTTTAAATCTATTTTCATATTTGGTTTTTAAAAATCTGACATATTAGTATCATTTTTAAAAATAAGCATGTCTTTCCCAAAAATATAACAGTTAGGAATAACAGAACTTTACCTCTCTTTTCTCTTTGTTCTCTTTGTCTTCAGCATCCCTTTGCCAAACACTTTTCATATCAAAATCAAAAGGACCCATTTTAGGTTCATAGCTGGCTGGTTGATCAGCCTTAAATTCTTCATGAATCATGTAGTCTGGCATTGCTGGAACATGAGGTCTGGAGGCAAAAATATCACCATTATCCATACAGCTTACCTTATAGCATTTGCCATCAAAGTGCAAGACATAAACAAGTGATGGAACATTGTTTTTAATTTCAACATTCAAGAAACCCATTTCCTCATTGTAAAATTAAATCAACTCTTCCCATGAAGACACAGAATACTTACTTAGAATCATCAGTTGCAGCTTGTTTGCTATGATGTGAGTACCATTCAAGTGCACCATAAGGCCCCAGGGATACTTTTCGTGGAGTAGGAGTAAAATGTCTCAGTAAATCTTAAACCAAAGATATTTAAAAATATAAAATTTTACATTTAAACAACTGCAGATTTTTAAAAAATTAATCAAATAAGTTCTGTTTCCTGCACACAGGTAGAGCAAGGGATAAATATTAAAAATGCTTTTATATTAATCCACTAAAGAAAAACAATATCTAAATGATTTTGTTGCAATCTATTCTTTTTTTACATTTTACTTTTAAAATCTACAGTATTAGTGTGTATCTGAAAGAGGAATAACATGTGGGAGATGATGTTTTAATTGTTTCATATTATGCTACTGTAGATTCTTTATAAAAATTACTCTACCATGATATTTGAAATATATATATAATTTTATTCACCTTTCAGGAAAATAAAAGGAAGAGTGAAATCTTTAAAATTTAAAAGAAATCAAAAAGCCAACCATAGTTTTTTAATAGCTATTCTAGTTTAACCCAGCATTATATTTAGATATTTCAGTATTGTTTTCTAAACAGAAGCATATAAAAGGAACCAGCCATATCCATCTCCATAATAATCCATTTTACTCTCCCTTCATTTCTTGTTTCGTCTCAGCTATATGTACTTTAAGACATTGAGCACTGCAGACGGAGTCACAATCTTAATTCTCTTCTTTATTAAAAAAAACTATATTTCTGCAAACCTCAGGGTTCTTCCATACTTTCTGATCACTCCCTCTTGTACAAGCCTCTTGCCAATTTGATTAATAAGCTACCAGAGACTTCCCTGAATATTGAAAATAAATAATAAAATAAAATAATAAAATAAAATAATTTAGAAACTAGAAATTAGAGTATTCAGAAATAATGTCAAGAATGAAACTTTGGTAGCTATGTGACTTTTTATTTCAACTTGCCATTAGAGTAAGAGGGGGAAGGTGTTGCTTTAGAATGAGTTAGAAGGAGAAACAAAATCAACCTTTCCAAGGACATTGCAACAGGTATGGAGAGGAAGCAGACGGTTCCCATAACAAAGTGAAATTGTTTACATGGACTACATGAAAGGGTGGGGGTTAATAGTTTAATTAATTAAACTATTAAACTATTAATAGTTTAATTCTATGAACTGATGTCTGGGAACTTCAGAGTTAGTTTTGCTTCGACGTTACCATACTGTGTATTGAATACATAGTAAGATTTTCAAAATGGAAGGAACCTGGAGTTTTATTTGGATTCTCGAGCTGGATGTTGACAAATATGTTGATTTTAAAATGTAAAAGAAGTTACTTTATGGCTTTGAGTAAATTTAATATTTAAATTTGATATTTCAGAGACTCTGTTCCAAGATAACCAGATGTGAGGTGTTCTAGTTGAGATTCAGCATAAGGGAACATTTGGGATTGTGTGTTATCATTCTCCTTGCTAGCTGACTCTGTTGCTGGATTGGCAGGAGAGTCTCAAAAGCTGTTGATCTTTGGGGATTTCAATTTGCTTTTTGGTCACTGAGTTTGGGGTGGCTCAGACGATTGTGGCTTGTTTATTTGGATCTGTCCCAAATAACTGACAGCGAAACACATGTCAGTGTTCACATGCTGGGTCTAGATTTTGTCCTGAGGTGGGGATGGACATTAACATCATTTGTGGACAGATTAATCCATTTGTTGTCTTTTGATTCTCTTGTGATTCTCCCTTTCCTTCAGAGAGACAGAGCTTGTTTAGCTGGCCTCTTCCAGGCAACTTTGGACAAATGGGATTTCAAAGAGAGCTTTGGGTTTTCCCTGAAGGTCTAGTGGGCAATTTGGCTCAGGTCCTAACTGCTGCCTGGAGTGGATGGGTGACTAGCACCTTGGATTATATTGTTCTTATATGACCTCTCACAATGCACTACTCTTGGTGTCATCTGCAAATTTAATGAATTTGCCTTTTATCCCCTCATCTAAATCATTAATGAAGATATTGAAGAGTACTGGGCCTAAGACAAATCCTTGGGAGTACCCCACTGGAATTGAAGCAAAAAAACAAAAATAATATGATCTCATAGAGGTCTAAGAGGCAGTTTGAGATTCATTAATTATTAAGTCTTCAACTTTTTTTAACCACACATTTGGTTTCTTGTACATTTCATAACACTGTTCAATCTTAGAATCTGTAGGAAAAGCCCTTGAGAAAGTAAGACCCACAATGTCAGCTGGAAAAATAAAATGTTCATGCTTGTCTTCTATCATATTCTATCTTCAGTTTCCAACATTTCTAACATTAACTTCTTTCTTTGTCTCCACATAAAAATATTCACATCAATCTTCTGAATAGCTTAGATATTTGTTTAAATTAAATCACCTGGTTGACCTCCTTGCTTTGCCAGTTTTACATATTCTGAGTCAGTATCTTTGATCCACTTTCTTCGACCCCCAAAGGTAATGTCATTGTGAGGATCTCCAAAATCACCAAGACATGGGATCTCAGACATTGGTTGTTGTGCAACTTCTGAGCTAACTTGTTCCTCTGAGCATTTCAGGGGGATGTGATAATACCAATCTGCAATAATAATAATGGAGGATGAATATATTAAAAACTATATGATCAAATGGGCAACATTTATAACACAATGCTTAGTTACAAAATAATACTTGATCTATGGGAGAATATGTGGACAGGTTGAAAAAAATGGAACTTTGTTTTTATATAGATAACAGCAGCAAGACTTCTGCTATTGGACTCACATATATCCACAATGTAAAAAAATAGATGATAAAATTAATGGAGTTGAGAAATTGATTGCTTTGAATAAAGAAAATACTTATCTAGTTTTGTTTCTTCTTGGAAAGCACTCTTAGATTTTTGTTTGAAACTAAAAGAAATGAAATTTTAACCTTATATTTTGATTGTATTTATTTATCATGAAAGAAGTGCTTATGTTATAGCTTAGTCAAAGGATTACTGATTTTTAGGTTTTTATCTGTATTGAAATAAGTTGAAATTTATCTTTTTTCAATAATTTTTCCCATTTTGTTTGTACTTTCCAATTTATTTTCACCTTTTCTTTTCCCTTTTTTAAAAACTCTTTTTTCTTTGCTTTTTATGCTTCTTTGAAATTTAATGTTTTGAAAAATAATAAAATTTGGAATATATAATGACTAAGAGACCCAGTAAGCTTTTGAATAATATGCTAGGCAGTGGTGGGATTCAAATTTGTTGCTTCCAAAAGTCCATTCTCGGTCTGGGCAACAAAAAATTAGCTACCCGTTCTGCCAAACTGGTGCAAACTGGTGAATCTCACCATTGATTCTAATAAAGGGCAGGGCTAGAACAAAATCAAAATTGGATACAAATTCCTTCAATACTGTCTGGCCTAAAATCAAAAAATGACATAGGGTGATTTTTCCAAGCTGTGTTTTTTTAATTGTTTCACATCTATAAACAAAATCTTGCACTCAACTATCCTATCTATAATATACTCTATCATTTATTAAGGAAGGGCTATCTTTACCCTCTTTCTCTCTCTGATAACATCTGAATTAAGTTGCCTATTTCTTTGAAGCGCACCTTCTCAGTCTTGGAGTCCATAAAATTAGCAGTTTCCCTTAAGTCATTCATAGCTTAAGTATTTCTGGCATGCAGGGAAGTACAAAATAACAGTGATTATAAGAAGTTTAAACAGAACATTACACTATACTTGGTTTGAATACAGTTATTTGTCTCTGATTCAGTAGTACTTCTGAACTGGGCAGAATCTGTTTCCCAAATTTGTGTTTGGTTTCTTAAGAGAGCATATTGCAGCCAAGTGTCCTTAATCTCCATAATATAAATATAGTCCATCTTTCCACCATCTGAACTTTTCTGCTTCAATTCTGCAGCCCAATCTACATGAGTTCGTCTGTCAAAATCCTTTCATGTTTGGCTATTGACAACAGGCAGCAACTTGATAATAGGCTTGTATCCTCAATTTCTACCTTTTCTTTGTAACTGCCCATCTATTAATAGTGATATGCAGGTTCTGAGGTTTTGCTGGTTAAAGAAATACAGGAAACTAGAAGTTGCTTTCAAGTTTATGTGTTTATTCAGCTGAATAGAAACGGGCTTCTGTGCAAAAGACCCCAAAGCCCCAAATAGCAAAGAAAGCTTATTTTTATAGTCACTTTAGTTACATAAGCAATTCACCCAGCTAGGCTGGCACACATAGAATTAAGACTTCGCCCTTTAAGGTTGGCACACTGTAGACAAGAAAAGCAGAAGTAGCTAGTATGTTCTCTCAAGGGAATTTCCCCGAGACCATATGTTCAGTCTTGGGTATTGTGGGTGTTGTCCCAAGATGCCAGATGTTCTTGGGTGGCTTTAGGACATTAGCATGTTTCTTTGCTGTCCTTTCATGACCGTTCATGACAAGTGACCAGAGACAGAGGGGCCATCTGTATATTGATACTGTCCCCTGGGTCCTGGTCATCAATCCCCCCTCCTTTCATGCTGCGAGCATAGGAGCATGACAGCCCAAATGAAGAGACAGAGGATAAACTTCTGTAGTATGTTGCCCACAGCATTTAGAACAAACAGAGGTAAGTAGGGGCAAGCAGTGAAGGACACAACAGAAAACAAGAACAAGAAATACCACAAAGAGAAGACCAAGGAATAATTCCCTAAACCATCCCCATCCTGGGAACCAACTGATAAGCAATGAAAATATACTATGGAAAGTCTCCCATACAGTATCAGTAGAAATCTTCAGATCTTTAGGGTAATTCCTAATCCCTTCTTCCATGAGATGGATGGTATGACTAATGTTAACTTGATAGTCAGTTATAAAAGTGCAGCAATGTGAGTGCACTAAAACACATACCCCACCTTTCACAGCCAGTACCTTGTCCAATGCTTGACAATTCTGTACCACTACCTCCCGTATTTCCCCCTGTTCCTTATTGAGTTGTGTAAATGCCTGTATGGTGTGGTTAAACATTTCTTCTGTCCAGTCACCCAATTCTATAATTTAAACCAACTCCTACAGCTGGAATTAACACTTGTGCAATAGCATTGCCCAGGTTATGAGGTACAGGATGGTGTTCAATATGTTCTTCATGCTCAAGGTGGTCCTCGCCCCACTAGTTGCGGACGTGAAAGTTCCAATCATGATGTTGGATAATACGAACAGAGGGAAAGAAAATTCCTATGGTACATGTACCAGACCAATAAGCTGGTAAGGATTTATAGGCAAACTGACCACAAAGAAACCACCAGTCCAGGTGGTTAGCAAGATAAATGCCTGGCTTGCTTTCCAACCCCTCAGGCATATAGGCTGTAACACCAGACATATAAGCCATGAGTCCCATTGCTGCAAACAAACTACAGAGAGCAGAGGGTCCTTTTTATAGTCAAGACCAAAGGTCTGATGATATCTATACCAATCATCCCACATGCTCGCACTGACCTTCCATGTGACTGTGCAAGGTGTATAGATTCCCAACTTATATCTAGAAGAATTAAAATAACTAAGGCAAACTGCTGCAGGGTGCTGTATATATATTTAGCAATCTGCAGCTTTCCTGTGGGGGAATTTGCACGCGCAGCAAACTGCCATGCATTCCCCCCCCCCCACAAACCTCATAACCTTTTGATACCCTTTGTCCCAAGGAAGCAGCCAAAAGATCACCCCCTTTTGACTTAATATCTTACCTACCTAAATAAATAATATGCTTTAAGTTCCCCCTTATTTCTTCCTGTCTTTATCTCTTCTTGTTTTTATCAGTCCTTTCTCCTTTTCTAATTTACCTGTATTTGTTTTTACCTGCTCTCAACAGGTAATGTGTTACTAGAAAATAATTGCTTATATAAAGGAATTTTCCAATTACTTTATGTCAACAGCTAAAGGTTAAACTTCTAAATGTAAAATGTCAGCAGTTAATGGTAAAGCCTATGTATGTAAAAAGTATATAAGAAACAATAAACTGAGAGTTTGTCAAGCTGTGTTCTGCAGCTTCAAACCTCTGCTCAAGACATGCCCGAGTCTTTTTCTTAGCATCGTTACAACTGGCGCCCAACGTGGGGCTTCCCTCCCTGAGGGTAAGCAGGGACATCCCCTTCCGAGGGAAAGCAGCAACCAACATATTTACAGTCGTCTGGAAGAGACCTCTTGGTGCACCTTCTCGTCTTCTCGTCCTGCGAGATTTCTCAAACTGTAAGTATGGGCTGCGATATATCTCACCATCAGCAAAAGCATGTAAGAGAGTTAAAATTTCTCTTACACAAATCGGGCATGACCATGCCTGAAAGAGAGCTTAGGAAGCTGGTGAGTGAGTTAGGAAAAAACTGTCCTTAGTATCCTGAAAGGGGGACACTCCAACTTAAGGATTGGGAAACAATAGGTAACACCCTTCATCAGGAACCCCAAGCCTCAGTGGATGTTTTGCATTGTTGGCATCAATGTCGCCATGCAGTGGAAAAATATGGAGCTGATGCAGTACAATTAAGTTCTACTCCCTCTCCAGGTTTTAATCATGAAAAGGTTTCAGTTCCGTCAGCTCCTATATCTTCCATGATGGATGTGATACCTTCAGAGCAAAAGAATTCTAGATCTTATGTTTCCATTCGCCATGTATTAGAAAATCAAATGGCGAAAGGAGAGGGAGATATGCAGGAAATAGCAGATATGCTCTCAGTTTGTCCTGTATATTTGACTGGGCAGGTAGATGCAAATGGAGCCCCAGTGGTTGAATATCGACCACTTTCTTATGCAATCTTAACAGAATTGCATAAGGATATAAGAGATACTGGCTTAGGTAGTTCATATGTGCAAGGTATGTTAGAAGCAACAATGAGGAATCGTGTTTTGGTACCAGAAGATTGGAAAACAACAATTCGTATGTTATTAACACCAGCTCAGTATGTGGTATGGGATAGTGAGTTTAGACATCAATGTGCATTAAGAGCAGCAACTTCTGGAGGTGCTTACCTCCCAGAGCAGTTATATGGCTCTGGTGATTACATTCCAGTGGATGCACAAATTGTTTTGCCTATAGCTACTCTTCAAATATCCTCTGAATGTGCTTACAAAGCTTTTGGAAAAGTTCCTATAACTGGGAAGCCATCTCAAGCATTTTCAAATATTCGTCAAAAGGCAAATGAACCATATGCAGATTTTATTAACCGTCTGCAATATGCCTTGAGATGACAAATTGATAATTCTGATGCCCAAGCTGAATTGCTTATGCAATTAGCTAAAGAAAATGCCACCACTGAATGTAAACGGGCCATCATTGGATTGGGAGCTCAACCAGATTTAGCAGAAATGATCAAAGCATGTCAGGACATAGGGACTATTTCTTTTCAAACTAATCTCTTGGCTGCAGCTCTTACAAAACCTCAGGGGAAATGTTATAATTGTGGTAAAATTGGATACTTTAAACAGGATTCCAGAAATCCTGGGGGAGGAAAGTATGCCTCCCGACCATTTAAAAATAATGCTGGGAGACGTCCAAAAACAAAATGCCCTAAGTGTAATAAGGGATTTCATTGGGCTGATGAATGTCGGTCAGGAAACTTCAAAGCGG